GATTAATTCAAGTTCCCTCTTGGCACATTTCTCCTCAAGCTCTTTCAATGTCTTGGCGCAACTTTTAGCTTGCTCTTTACGAAGATCATTTCTCTTCTTAAGTTCGTCATGAGCGCCAAGAATGTGACATCTCTCATTTTCACATGTGGAGAGTTTGTTTGTCAAAAAGTCCTTTTCATTTCTTAGGACATTGTGCTTTGCTTGAGCCTCCAAAAAATTCTTTTTGAACTGATCCTTTTCCTTTACACATACTTCCAAGTTGGCTATAAGTTCTTCCTTTCGTTTTGACAACCTACAACATTGGAAGTACATTTCCTTGTATGTTTCTTGAAATTCGCTAGTTTCACTGTCAGAAGTGTCTTCGTTTTCTAAAATAGGGTCAAAACTTGCAACCAAAGCATTGTGGGTTGCATCTTTCTCATGCTTTGAAGATGATGCACAAGGAGTTATGATAGGATCTTCACTTGTTCCTTCATTTCCTTCCTCATTTTCAGAGTTGCTCTCATTAACCCATGTGATTTTGAGTGTTTTCTTTCTATTTCTCTTTGAAGGTAGGTTGAAACATGCCCAAACCCATGACATTCAAACATTGAACTTCCTGAAATTTGATATTCTTCTTGTTGGGTTTGAAAAAATTTTATTCATCATTACCACTCTCCCTTGTATTTGAATCCCTAAAACGAGGTTTTCTTTTTCTCATAAAATTCTAAAATTGTTTTGTAAAAATAGCCATCATTTCTGATTCAAAATCTTCATTATTCTTGGGAGATTTATCATACTTATGAGTGCTAGAAAAATCAAGAGAGTCTTTTTGTTTCTTTTTTGAAAAAATTGTAGCCTCATAAGTTTGTAGGTTTCCAACAAACTGATCCAGCTTTAGATTATCAATATCTTAAGCTTCTCCAATAATTGAAACTTTTGATTGAAAACGATAGGGTAATGATCTCAAAATTTTAGCCACAACCTTAAGCTCGGGAATTTTTTCTCCTAATGCAAAATAGGAATTAACAATGTCACTGAGCTTGGCATAAAATTCATCAATGGTCTCATCATCTTTTATAGAAAGAATTTTAAAATTAGATGGGAGTCTTTCAAGTTTGCTATGTTTAACAGCGTTAGTGCCCTTGTGAATAGTTTCAAGGATCCCATGCTTCTTTGGCAATTTCACATGTACCAATCCCACGAAACCCTTCTTGTGTGACATAGCCAAAAATAGCATTGATAGCCATGCTATTCCAATTTGCATTAATAAAATCATTCATATCCCAATCATCTCCCAGTTTTGGAATACTTTCTCCTTCTACAGTGATCATGGGTTCTTTCCAACCTTTGACAACGGATTGCCAAACTTTTTCATCAATAGATTTTAGATATACACTCATTCGAGCTTTCCAAAAACTATAGTTGGTTCCGTTGAGCAAAGGAGGTTTATAAGAAACATTATTTCCTTGGATCGAATCCATGATCAATAATCACGAAACATCACTCTCCTATAGCTTTGTAAAACAAAGTACAAGCGACCTGCTCTCATATCAATTGAAAAAATCTAGTTTTAAAGAAAATCCTTTTGAAAATCTAGATCCCGTTCAACGTGATTATTGATTTAGGCAATTCAAATAAAAAAAATTATGCAACCATGATCAATATAGAAAAGATAGAGTATGAGAAAAAAATCCACGACACGAGATTTTTTACGTGGAAAATCACAATTGGAATCCACACTAACTTGTGATAAAAAAAAATGCACGGGCCCTCGACCAGACGAATAATCTACTATGAAAGAAAGATAGTACAAGAGATGTTTTACAAAAACCAATCTAGGCTGCATGAGTCCATTTCACGGCACACGTCTTTGCTCACTCTACAAGTACCTCCTTAATCCCCACTAGATATCCGCTTTGTCAAATCCATACGACAAATAGCTTGGAATCCACACCAAAGCTCACCAGGTACAATCTTGGATCACACCAAGACGGTTCACTTTTGGAAGATGTGAAGAACTTTTACAAAAGGCTTGATGATTAACTTGAAGCACCTAAGAACTAATGGATCATTAAGCATATGAGAGATACAAATAATCCTCATTACAAGTTCTCTCTTAAAAATAAAACTCTTTTTAAACAAATTCCCTCAAAAATAAACTCTCTATAATTTTTCCAACGTTCAGTTCTAGACAGGTTTTGGAGATATAGAAAATGTGTTGGAGAGATACAAAAAGATATTGGATAGGTGCCCAAACATTTCAGCAAAGGGTCCTTTAAATAGACCTGCACCAGGGCAAGACTGCGGGCACAATAACCTTCATCACGGGTGCAGTAATTCTTGATCGCGGGCGCGAGCTTCCATCGTGGGTTACAGAGGAAAAGTACTGAGAGTTTGAATTCCAGAAGCTTCAAATCGCGAACTAACCGCAGGTGCCATATATGACCATCGCGGACGCGAATGTATGTTCGCGGGAGCGACAAATGTAAATCGCAGACGCGAGGCTGGTGTCTGCGAGGGCGACTAGCTGTGGTCCAAAATCGTGGGCGCAAAGTTCAGTATCACGGGCGCGATGACGCATGTGTCTTGAGAAGCTTTTACAAACTTTTTGCTCCATGTTTTCTGCAACATTATCTTATATGCTTTGACAGTTCGTCCCCCTGACAAATAGTCTTCTTTTGGGCTGGAAAATGTCAATAACCTCCCATGGTTGTCCATCAAATCTTGTCGACAAGATCAAGCACTTTTGACTAAACAAACTCAAGAAAACTTTAGCCCATGACCAAATCTTTGAGCCATGTATTTTCCACCGAAAAGATGAGGCAAACAGCCATCTTTAGTATCCCAATGTTTGCCAAATGCAAATCTAAATCTTCATAGCATGCTTCCCAAATCTTGTACTTTTGATATGAATCAATAACCATTATATTGAGTTTTGTCAAAAAAGGTATTGCCAAAACACAAAAATATTTAGGATAAAACTCTTAACAGGTTCAACTTTCCTTAAGGTTCCGTTTGATTAGAATGAAATCAATTATGGAAAGTGAACATGATAGAAAGTAAAGTGAAAGAAAAGAAAATGAAAATAAAAATATCTTTTCTCGTATGAATTTGATTGGGATGAAAATTTTGTAAAAAAAAAAATTCTAATTATAAATAACTACTTTTATAACAAATTTAAACTTTCTTGTATGTTCTTGTATTTTTTGCAAGAAACTGGGAGCTTAATTACCTTGTTATTATAAGTTATATATGAAAATTAATTTTCTTGTAACTTCCACTACTTTCATACTAAACAAATTTAGAATTTTTTTTATTTTTTTTCATTTCTTTCACTTTCTACCATTTTCATCCTAACCAAACTGAGCCTAAGGGGGAGCTGAATTAAGAGACAAGTATTTGGTGCTTTGCAAAGGTAGGGAGACTAAATTCCAAAAATGTTAATCTAATAACTAACAACTAATTTTTACCGATAAAAAAAAAAATTTGTATAAATAATCTTCTCAGAAGACTCTACAAGATGAACAGTTCAGATCATCAAACTATGTTCCATGGTGAGTCCATACATAGACCTAACAACACTTTCTAGTTGGAAGAGAATATCAATTCCAAAATAATACTTAGAAGTCCAGAATTTAAAATGTGTAGATTAGATTCAATATTGTTGCGAGTTTATGCCGTACCAAGTTTAAATATGTACATAGATTCTCAATTTGAATGCTTTAAAAATATTTTTCTTTCATCCCACAATTTTCCAGTAATAAAAAGAGAATTTGACATTCAATAATTTTCTTCGTTTACCAGGATTAGTGCTGAGTCATGAGACTTGAGAATGCTACAATTCTGTTGCTGATGCTGGCTGTTGGTTATTTTTTTGTCGATGCTTGCTGCTGAAGTGTGTTGCTATTTTGGTGTCGCTGGTGTGTGTTGATTCTGTTGATGTTGGCTGTTCCCGGGGTGTTGGTGTTGGTGTTGGTACGAGGGTGTTTGATGTCTGTGGCGTTATTGTTTTGGTACTCTGTTTTGGTTTCTTGGTTGTTTTTGGTTGATCTCTCGTCAATCTTGGGTAGTGCTAGCATTCGTTAGCGTTTCCTTGGCGGTGCCAACCTAGTTGGGATTGTTGAGGTTTGCTTTGATACTTAGTGCTCTCCCTTGCTTTGTTGATGTTCTTTGTATTCTGCTTTGTGCATTAATAAAGTTTTCTTTTATTGATCAAAAAAAAAAAAAAATGGTAGAGCTACTTTACCAAAGTTGGACATTGGAGCCTTTGGATCTTTCTTCTTTTCTTCACTTCTTTGAGAGTGTCTTAAATAAGTACATTTTTTGTCTTTTTAGGCTAAAAAGTTGAGAAAAAAGATATGATTGTTTGGGTTAACTTTTTGACTTTTTATGGAAAAATATGTATTAAAAAATTATATAAATTAGTGTGTAGGAAAAAATTAAAATAGGGAAAAATTAAGATTGAGAGTTGTGCAACCATAATTTTTGAATTTTGATGAATAGTGATAACTTTTTAACTTTTTGAATAACTTTTTGACTTTTTGACAACTTCCCAAACTTGGCCTTAAATTAACTAAAACTCATAAATTTTATGATTGAACAAGTTATTCAAAATCAATGGTCATTACACTGATAACATTGTAACTAAGGCCTCGTTTGGGAAGCCTTCATTTGAACCAAAAGCCAAAAAGTTACTAATAAATTAGTCAAAAAGCCAACAATCCATACCAAAAAGTCAAAGATTCTCTTTTCTCTTTACTTTTTGCACATCTTTTCGTAAAAAATCAAAAAGTCATCCTAAACATACTAGTTTTTTTTAACTCATATTTTAGTCAAATAGTCAAAAAGTTACTAAATTAGCATGTTCCCAAACGAGGCCTAAGACAGAGAGATAGCTAGTTAAATTGTTACTTTCAAGAACTTCCTCAAAAAAAAGCATGCAAAGATGAGAAATACTAATTGATCATAGCTTTTGCATTCTTTTTTTTTGTTACATTGGAAAAGATAGCTTTTGTATTCATATGAAGACAATATGTATATTTCTCTCTTTGCTTTTTCATCTAACCATATAGCTAGAGCCCGAACACAAAGGTAGCATGAATCCATTCTCAATTTCCTCTCCCTTTTCCTTCTTGTCTTCTTCTCATTGCAGCGTTTTGAAAAACCATTAAAAATAAAATAAAAATAAAAAAACAGAGAACAGTATTTTGTCAATGCTCTTAACCTGGACCACTCCAAAGATAGAAAGCCCATCTCATGCATGGCATTGGTAGGCTCAAACATAATTGAGAAATTATTTTTCGCAATTGTCAGATAGTATAATGTAACGACCACTGTGATTTTAACATTTGTGCACATAAGATTTACACTCATGTGACGATCACATGTGAGAATTTTCCTAATTTGTACACTTTAGGACACTTTGAGTCCACAACTACCTCAATCCTCAAACCCACATGGGACCCAAGCTGAGGCATACACTGAGTTGTGACCTTTCCATGTGAGCACCAACATATCATCGTCTTTCTTCATTCCCCAACCACTAGCATGTTCCTCTAGCAAGGAGTTAACTTCCCCAATAGTCTCTTCACAAAAAGGCAGACTCGAATATCCCTTGTTCTTCATTCGTTGACTCAAATTAATTCCAGATTCTAACCTCTCTATCCTTTGAATCCCTTCAAAACCGATAATGTTTTCAATTTTATGACCAATATCAGCTTCATAATCTAATCTTTGTCCACTATCCTTAGGCAAGAAAGTTTCCAATGCATCAAATGGTATCCATAGGTAATTGAAGCAAGTGGTAATCCTCGAGGTGAAACTCATTGTCCCCAAATCAGAGTCCTCATCAACCATGACAATAATCCTAGGATTAAGAACTTTAATTGTTTCAAGGAAAGCATTGCGCCATGAATCACCATGAACACTCCCCTTTTTATCATCGGGTAAATAACGCAGCCAATGTTGGCAATTGATGACCAAAGCTTCATCATCCCTAAGGTTTAAGGTCAATCTATTCAATTGACTTAAGAGTGAATCATAGTCAAAGTTTGGGCATTCTTTAGATGAAGATAAGTCTTCAATAACATTGAATTCAAAGGGAAGGTCTATAAGCTTGGCAAAATTTGCCAAACGGAGACCAACTTCTTCCATTGACACATTAAGGAAAGGGGGGACTTGAGGCCTCCAATAAGGCACCGAAATTCGAAGAGAAGGAGGCCCTTCTGGCCTCTTTGCCAACGCATCTATAAGAGTAGGCCATTGCATACAATGAGTGATGCTAAAATCTAATACGTGAACTTTTGAACACCCTTGAATTGCAATAAATATGGCACTATTTGATGCGCAAAATCCAAACCTGTGCCAAGGGATTAGATCAACATACCCAGCAAGCTCAATCACAGACATCATCCTCCTATGGACGGTACTGCTGCCATTAAAATTCATGGCTGTGGGAAAAACCCTAGATGCCTTAGCTATGAGTGCCCTTGAAAACCATGAAGTGAGCCTCTGGTTAGGGTCACCTACAGTGGAAGCAACATTGTTGAGTACCCACATGACTTGTTGAACCAAAGTCGCATCGTTGCTCTCTAGGGCACTTGCACAGTGGAGTAGAAGCTTCTCTATGCATGCTCCATCGAGGTTGCCAAGACACCCTTTGAGTGCACCTGATAGAGAACTTTGAGGGAATAGATTAGGGTTTTGAAAAGAAATTGGTGTATTGTTATCTCTTAGTTCTGCTCTCATAGCTAGTTGTTAAAATTGATGATATGATAAAAATAAAAATAAAAAACAAGGGCTTTTTTCACTTCAACTTGCATGGAATGTCTGATTCTGATACATCAAGAGAAGAAAGAAAAGGGAAAACAGGCGTGGCAGTACTTGTGCTTTTTCTTTGGAAAGCTAGGGTTTCATTTGATGGTATTTGCAATGAGAATTTGCAGGATGAACAAATATGAGGTCTTGAATGTTGGAGATCTGTACATGGCTCTAGTGGCTTTAGACTGTGCTTGTATTGAGAGAGAGAGAGAGAGAGATTGGGAGAGAGAGAGAGAGAGAGTTGAAAGGTAGTTTATCATCTACTATCTAAGGCCATATTTATACACTAAGAAAATGTTCCTTTTGAATAAGTATAAAGATTCTTCAGGGCTAAAAGTACATATACAGTTAAATGAACCATGACTGAGTTTATATGTTAACAAAAATGCTTTAGAGCTCTAATATAGGAGCTCTAATAGCTCTAATGGGAAGGTGGGTCCCACCCTGATGTGATGTTTGTGCCTTGTTTTGTTTTTTTTTTTTTTTTTTTTGCTTTGACACATCATTAGAGCTCAAATTAGATGTGATCCATTTAGTTCTTTTTTATGTATAATGACTCATTTATCCACCACATTGGAGTGTCACATTTGAAAAAATTATACTACGTAGTTTTTTTTTTTTTGATCAGCCAAAAATAACTCCATTGATGAAAAAATGTACAAGCATAAAGATTACATCAACACATGTGAGGAAGTGTAAAGAGCAATAAATTGGATTGCTACTATTGTTTGGGTTTGTTTGCTTATTTTTGGTAAAATTTCTAATGATCCCGATTAATTCGCTAATTGGATATAGCACAAATCTCGTTAGGCTCGTTGGGGACTACTTTTGGTTTAGAGAAAAGTTTGATTTTGTTTTGATAAAATGTGTGAACTAAATACATTATGCGATTCACTTGGTTAGCTTTTAATATTTATTTTAGGGGCATTTACACGCCAGTCCAAATTTATAAACTCATATTCTATTAAATTTTAAACGAGAGTTTTTAGGCCTTCAAATCTCATTGAATTTTTAATAGTTAAAATTATCCTTTTAATAATGATTATTCATCATTTATGATTATCTATAATTGAACATGATAATTTGACATTTATTTTGATTTATAAAATTTTAAAGTATCAACGGTCAAATTAAAAAAACTTTTAAAAAAATTATGTGCAAAAAAAAAAAAAAAAAAAAGATGAAATAATTGAAAAAACTAATTTTTTTTTTAACTAATTTTTTTTTTTTTTTTTGTGCAAAACTAAAAAAATTTTTGTATCTATAAAACAAATATGATGGTGGAACATTGATGTTCAAAACAGAAAAAAATTAAAAATAATAAAAAAATTAATAATGTTTTTAGTTTTAAAATTGAAAAAAACTGATAATGTTCTCTATTTTATTAAATAGTTGAATCAAACCAAATAGGACTTATTGTTTCAAAAAATCCTAGATAGGACCTAAGCTACCATAACATTTATAAATACGATTTTTTAGGTAATTAACTTTTTATTTTAAAACCTATGCCATTTTAGCACTTTATAATTTCAATTGGTTCGATTTTAAATTTGAATTTATAATTTTATCTTAATTTTGCCTAATTGACTAAGCTTAGTATTTTTTTTATGAAAAATACACACAAAAGCAGTACATGTCATTGTTTTATGAATAAAATTGTAGACTTACTAGACTCAGTGAGTGTACTCAACCAAATCAGTAATCGTTTTCTAACATAAATTAACACAAAACCAAAAGAAAAATGCCCCGGACCCCCATTGAGAGTTACCCCAGGACCCCCCAGTCCATTGTGATTGGTCAATTTTTTTTTTTTTTTTTTTTATGTCCTTTCAATCACCAACCCCACGGTGTGTGGGGGTGGTGGGGGTAGGAAAAGAGTGTGGGTCTCAATCACTTTTGAAACCAAAATTAAGGCTCAAAATTAAATCAATTAAAAGCATAGAAACTAAAATAATACAAAGAATAAAATAAAGGACCTACTGATATAATTTAACCATTCCTTTAATTACTCAACATGGAAGATAATAGCACTTATTGACTCAATGAAGCCAAACTAATATCAGAATCACAACTATGTTTCACATATGTTATTTTTCTTTGGTTGTGTATCGTTAGTAGGAAACCATAGAGCTTTTCAGAGCTAATTTGGCCAATTTTTCCTTAACCATTCTCTCTTATCTCTTCTTAAGACAAATGATTAAGGTTCCATTGATGAACTGAGGCTGAAGAGTAGGTTAAAGAGGCTGTCTTGCCGGCCACTTTTTTTGTCTAACTTGAGTTCATCAAATGCCATTTAAGACAAACCCAATATTATTATCTTAATTAATAATTTGAATGCTTCTCTGAGTTTAGTGGTTGATAGCTACCCCTCATCTCCATCCTTCCACATAAGAGATATTTAATGAAACTTTATATAAGATTTCAGTTTCTTTTACATGGATGTTCTGTTTGATTGGGAAATTTGAGAAGAGATTTGGAAAAAGAAATGAAAAAAGTGTGTGAAATTAGGTAAAATGTAAGTATATTTTATTCATATTTCACTTGTCTTTTCCCTTTTCCTTTCTAAATCATTTCCCAAATTTCTTAACCAAATATAACACAATATATTTTGTTTGCCAATAAGAAAATAAATAAATAATGGGCACTTGAGCTATAAGTCTAATTTCAAATTTTTTGATGCAATAGTCTCAAAATTTATTCTTTTGGATAGGGATAGCAATTTTCCTACACCCCGCTCCACGCTCACCTCTCTCGCCCTGCCTGATGCTAGTTTTTCCTACCCCGATAAGGAAGTGGGAGTGGGGACGGGTTTGCTCCCCCATCTTGATTTTATTTATTAAATATATTTTTATGTGTCTAATTTAAAAATTTTCAATATAATAAGACTAATAAAACGTTAAAATATTATACTTAATATTTACTTTCAATCATTTATTTATTATATTATATATTTTTAACTCCCATTAATTATAATGTATTGTATTACCTTTAATTTTAACTAGTTTTTCTATTTTTGAAGTTATAAAATTAAACTGCCCCTATCCCGAACCAACCCCAAACTTGCCACTCCTTGGTTTGCCTCGCCGCCGATATGATATGGGGCAGGGGATAACAAATCCGCCCCATTGCCATCCCTATTTTTAGGGCTGAAAAGATAAAATAATTTGAAAAATCATATTACACCTACCTAAATGTCTGTTTGTCCACTGTCCACCTATCTATTCACGTCACGTATCTATCCAAGTGTCGTATATCTCTCTACCTATCTATGCATGTGTCATCCCCTTATTTGTTTATATGTCACATAGATGTCCACCTAATCTGCCTATCTATATAAGATAATTCAACTACTTATTCTATGATGAGTCAACAATTGTCACGTATAACTAATGGGCTAATCTGATTGGTCAGAACTATTGCACTTCACTAGAAAGTTAATACTTTATTCATATCGATTATATATGTATTGTATGTGATCTTCATCAATATGATTGTAATTCATTAGATTTCATTGTAATATCTTGTATGAATAAAAAAAATAAGAATAAAAATTGTCACATATACATAGTGGTTCACATAATAATATGTCATTAGAACATGTTACTATCTGTCAATGATAATATGATATCACTATTGTACTGGATTTATTTTTATTTTTGTGAAGAGTGACACTTTACAAATCATTGATGTATAATTCAATGCCATATATATTTCCATTGTTTTACTTTTATCTCGTTGTTAGAGAACAAAGGCAATGAAAACCAACCTATCTTTTGTAAGATTCAATTGCCTTTCAAAGATGATTCAATAAGATTATGACAGCAAACTCGCCAAGTGTGACAATTACAGTTCTATAATCACTTCATTACAACTAATTTAGCTTAGTAGTCTTCACCTAAACTTTTGCTTCAATATATTAGAGTAGATCTGTTTTTTGTCATTATTTATTATTAATTGAAAAGAAAACAAACAGTACACTACTTTGATCATTAGCATCTGGTCAAATAAATTTGAGAAACTTTAATGTTATGTTTGGTTAGAAGATTTGGAGAGAGATTTGGAACGGGAAATGAAAATGGTAAGTAAAATGTGAATAAAACATACCTTTATTTCATCTAGTTTCACACACTTTTTTCCTTTCACTTTTCAAATCCCTCCTCAAATCTCTCAATTAAATATAGCGTAAAAGAAGAGACAAACTGTTGGCTTTTTGGCTTTCGAAGGTTATTTTTGTAATTGCGAGCATGCCAGCAAGGATCAATCAGTCCTTACAGAAATTTAATTGCCAACCAATTATCGGACGATTGTGTTCTAGTTCTTTCAGCCTCAATGAAGAGGACTTTTACTGGTGGCTTGATTTAGGAGAATTAAGCAAAATATCAATCAAATGAAGAACAATTGAAGCATTTAATTAGAATGAAAAACTTACAATGATCCAAACTCCGCCTCGTAGAGGTTTACAGCGACAATCTACTTGAAACTACTCTTATGAACGAAGTGCAGTGCAGGAATTTAAAGTATAGGAATGTAAAGAACAGGAAATATAAAACTGGAAAGAAAACTGGAAAGAAAAATAAGTAAAGTAAAATAAGACTTGTTTTTTTGGATCTGAGTCTGGGGATTTTTTCTGAGACTTTCTCTGCTATTATACTTCTCAAGGATGACCATTGAACTGTATTTCAAACCGTCAAACTGCTCTTCCTTGATCGCTGATCATGTTGCCTTACAAGAGTTCCACTATGCCATCACTTGCAGTTAGGCTTCCCTCCTAAATTTGAATTTGAATGTGAGTAACCGTTGAAGCCACATCACTTTGCATCTCTTTGTTGGTCCAATGCTACTCAGATCTCGTAAGAACCAATATTAACTGCCACGTGTACGATCATGATCGAAGACTTAAACATTCTTCCAGTATTGCCCTTACTCTGCCACGTGTTGAATTGTAATTAGCTCATACAAAATATGTAGCAAACATTACCCCCCGCACTAATATACCCAATACTTGGTGATATTAGTGGATCAAAGTCTTTTTCCCGCTTTTTTAGAACGTGTATGGGCTTTGTATTTTAGGAACACAACCGTCATCCATTGATGATCATTTGCATTAACTCTATTTCAATCTTTTGGACACCCCCACCACCTTAGTATTCGAACAGACTGCTACCCCCTTTCATGGCCAAATCAATTTTCTTCTCTATTGATCGAGCACATGAAGAGTCATT